ACTTCCCTCTGCCCTGGATCGTGGTCTCTCATTGTCTGTAGGTCATCGCCGATGTAGTTTTCAGTCAGAAACCATTGCACACAGCGAGATTGTGAATCGCCGACAGCTCTAGATATTTAGCATGCCAAATATTTCACGGGCGTCTGCGACCTGTCGGCGATTCCCTCAGATCGCGTCTTTGATAATTCACACTGCGTGATTGTCACTCGCGTGAACGAGCACCGATTTGCCTCCGATTTCGGGCATTTGTCGGCGATTTCGCAAAACCTGTCGGCGAGTGAAAAATCGGGCTAAAATCGTGCAGTGTGAACTCGGCATTACGGAAGCCCGGCCGGGACTAATCAGATCAAAGCAGGAAAATAGGCCTACTCTTTGACTTACCAGAGAACACGGAGCACATATTTTGGACTCAAAGTGAGTTTAATGGTTAGTTCAAGTAACTGTAGATTTAAAAGTTTTAGAGGTACTCATAAAGCTAAATCTAAAACTTTAAGGAGCATATGGGAATGCTAGGAAACTTTTAGAAAAAGAAAGATATTGTTTAAGAGTGGTTAAGTAAATGAGTAAATAAAAATTAATTTAACACTACAGTATTATGAGTAGTGTAGGTAGTGTGTGTAAAAAAAATTAAGTGTAAAATAAGTAAATTACTAAATTATGTAACTATACAGTACTATGAACAGAAATGGGAAAAAAATTGATTAAAACTAAATATTTTAAGTAATATTTTAGACAATATTTTAAAATATATTTTAAATAAGGTATTCATACAAGAAGATATGTAGATGCCTTTCAAATTTTAGAATGGGGTTCCTCGCATGAAGATGGTCATATTTGTGGCTTCGCTGTATATAAACCTGAAGAAAACAAAACCAGAGTCCTATATCATATATTCGATTTCCTAACTGTTTACAAAACGTGTGGAAAATAATTAGGCAAGAAATGTGCCATGCATTTAGAACTTGAGTGAGAACACTGAACACACTGTAAATAATCAATATGAATGAATATATTTTAATTTCTAGTCGTTGACGGTGGTCACAAGTTTTGCTTCACAAAATATTAGAAAACCACAAATAAACAGAAAAAATTCTTGACCACGTTCAGATATACAAAGAGAGAGGGGGGAAAAATTAACATCATTGTTAATTAAAAAACAAATGTTTAATGTACTTTAATTTACAAAAAAAACAAAAACAAGTGCTGTCAAACACAGCGTCAAAAAGCATGAACGAATCTAAAACATCAACAACGAGCGAACATATCTATGATCCACTCATATGCATGTCTTCCTGCATGTCATCACCGTCTGGGTTGTGTCCCTCCGCTCCCTGCATGTCCTCATACATGGGCACAGACTCCTGCATCTCCTCCTGGACCTCCTCCTCTTCCTCCACCATGTCACATGCTCCTGAAAAAGACAAACACAAGACATGTGAGAAGCTTAATCATGTTTAATCCTCATAAGGAAACCAAATATGTCCCATTGCTTATTAAAATGCTGTTTGATTGAACAAAATGCCAGAGATGCAAACAGGTGAGGGGGGAAAAAAGGTGAGAGCATTGCGCGGATCGGGGGCATGCTCCACACAGAGTTTCTTTTAAAGATATTTGCTTTACATGCTCATTTGTAGTTACCTTAAGGTATTTAAAAAATATATTTTTTATTATACAAGTCCAAAACTCCAATTGTAACTGTAAAAAAAAAAAATCTTGCAACATTTTACAAAAATCAAGATTGAATATATTTGGTCAAAATCCCATGTTGTAAAAGATGAAATGCTATGCAGGCTATTTAAGACAATATTTTCTGATTAGACAGCAATGCTGACCTAAAATGTTAAATGTTTGCCCTCTCTCTTTTCACCGTTCCCACATCTCAGACCTCAAATACATAAAATATTACCCTTTATAGACATGAAGTTTTTGAAGTAAAGAGTAAATAAAATACTATGCAAAACTTACTGAAACAATCAGGGGCCGGATTCACAAAAATCTTAAGAAATAAATGAAGACATTCCTTAAGATAAATTCCACAAAGTTCGTAAGAATGTTCTTAAGTGCAATTCTTGAAAAATTCTTAAGTTCTCAAATATATTCTTAAGAACATCTTAATTTTTTTCTTAAGAAAAAAATGACAGTCTTTATCTGAGTGAATACATGACGCACTGATAAACTCACACTTTATTGTCTTTTTGCGCTTCCTGCAGATTACCCTAATAATTATAATAAGCACGCACACTATTTTCGTCGCCTTTGACTGGCACTCAGCTTCACGTTTTTAATGCGGCATGTTTCTGAACAGTTACTTTTAAAATAGCTTGTCTCAAGCTGCAGCGATATGTTTTTTGTGCTGTGTTTTTGCGCTCTCATCTGAGTGAACGCTTCCGGTATGTGTGTCCGTGTTTCTACAGCAAACGCGTCCTGCGCATTCATGTGCGCTGAATACTGCCAAAGATTGTCGTATTTATAAGCTAAAATTAAAAGCGTTCAATTAAAACTGACTATCTGACTCGTTTTAGAGTTGCTACCGAATTTTGAAGTCATCAAAAAGTAGCGTCACATAGGCCAATCATGACCGATCATTGTTTACATTATCAGTCATCGCTGTCACTTCAGAAAACTCCCTATTAATAGTCCTACTACGTATTATATGCAGCTAGTGTTGTTGTAATGCTTAAATATAACAATTAATTTGAAATAACCCAATAAATTCATTAAATAATTCTTACTGTTTGGGATTTAAGACAAGTCTGGGGCTGTCCTAAATGTAAGAAGATTCTTTTCAAGAATTTGAATTCTTCTTAAGTTTTGTCTTAAGAACAATCTTAAGAACAAAGATAAGAGTATTCTGAAGAATTTTTGGGAATACAAAATATTCTTAACTTTTTCTTAAGTTAAAAAAATAAGAAGAAAATGGCAGTTGAGAAGTAATTTCTTCTTAAGAATGTTTCGTGAATCCGGCCCCAGTTCTTTATTTACCCTTGTAAGATCACAAGTACCACCCTCATAAAAACACTTTCTCACTGTATCTAAGCAGATCTCATAGGTGACCTATTTTGATCTGAAAAAAGCGAGTCGTCACTGAAAGGTGAGGAGTTTGCATCTATGCTTTTCAGAAAAGCCTCAGTCTGAGACTCAAGTGAGCGATAGCACTTTATTTTACAGTCCTGTTTCTCATGTA